CCCTGGGCTCTCTGGGGAGATCTGGTGGGGAGACTTGAAAGCGGGGCCCAGGGCTCGCTGGGGGGAGATGTGGGGTGGCTGAGAGCTGGGGCCCTGGGCTCTCTGGGGAGATCTGACCTCGGAGGACTGGAAGCAGGGCCCTGGGCTCTCTGGGGGGAGATGTGGGACAGGAGGAGGTGGGAAGGGCTGAGTTTCTGGCCTCTCTGGGGGCTGGGGCCTATAGCAGGTGCGTTCCTCGCTTCTACTTGTAGTGTACCTTCTTTCAGGCCTGGCTGAATGAGAAGTTTGCGCCGGAGCTGCTGGAGAGCAAACCTGAGATCATTGAGTGTGTTGTGGAGCAGCTGGACCATATGGTAGGTTCTGCTGGGCTAAGGTGGTGCTACAGGCAGGGCCTGGTTGCCTGGCCTGGTAGATACATGCTTGGGTCCCTCTGGGATTGCCAGGATTGTCTGCTCCTCTGTCCCCGAGATAAGGCTGTTCCGAGTACCTTCTTTGAGCTTGTCTTGGAGAGGGGACTGAGAGATACAAGGAAAGGGCGTGCTTTGTGTCACCAAAAGCAGCTGCCGTCTGGTTTTGTGGGCCCTGTGCACAAAACCCATCTCCCTCTCTGTTTCTTGTTGTTTGACGTTTCAACCATTTAATTTCTCTTTGCCTTTCCTTGCAGGAGGCAAACCTGAAACGGGCAAAGAGAGGAGACTTGAAGGTCAGCGTTCACCGCATGGAGATTGAAAGGATCCGTTACGTGCTCAGCAGCTACTTGCGATGTAGGCTTGTGAAGGTAATACTTGCTTGTGCTGCCCAGGGGATGAAAAAGGGTGACTTCAGGAGTGATTATTACCCACACGAGGCCTCCGGCTTCAGCAAGGCGCTTAGTTAAAGTGCACTTGCTCTCTCCATGTCCTCTGAAGTGCAACCCGAAGGAATTCCTTCCTTGGACACGCTTTTCTGTTGTGATAAAGGAGGAGCACAGCATTGCTACGAGCGTTTTCTTACCTCATCAAAGCTCAGGGTGGCACAATTGAACGCGTGCGTGTTTTGCCTGGGTCCTGCCGTGTACACCTATGGTTGTGCAGCTTGGAGACCCCAGCTGACCATATCGCTGTTAATTCGGGGGCAGGTGTCTGGGCACGCCTGCGGCTGCCGCCTACACCTGTACAGCAGTGGCCTGCTGCTTGTAGGGGAAGCCTCTGGGGAGTGGGTGTTGTAGGCACTGCGCTACTGGGAGAGGTCTGTTACAGTCTTTGGGATTTTGTTCCCATATCAGATAGAGAAGTTTTTCCCCCATGTCCTGGAGAAGGAGAAGTCTCGAGCTGAAGGGGAGCCTTCCATTCTATCACCAGAGGAGTTTGCCTTTGCTAAAGAGTGAGTAGGTTTTGGATGTATCGCCCTCCCTTTTTATAGGTTATAGAACTTGCCCGTGTGTTATGCTGAACAGTTCTGTTCAGCCTTAGACAGGTTTGCAGCAAGAATCACAGGCTTTACCAGGAGGTTTCCTTACAGACAAAGAAAGAAGTGAAATAAAATAACTCTGGTAACTGTGAGCCAGTTACCGGGGCGAGCCATTAGGTTTGTCTCTGGCCATGCCTGTGGGAGCAGGAGATATTGCTTGCTGGCGTTTTCAGTCAGTGCTCTCCCTGCAAATTTGTATTTGATTAAATCAGTAAATGCTCCAATGATTTGTCTCAGGTACATGGCAAACACAGAGACTTATTTGAAGAACGTGGCCCTAAAACACATGCCGCCCAACCTGCAGAAAGTGTCTCTCCTAAAATCAGGTGAGTATATCCAGACTGCAGGGTAATCTGAAAATTATAGCAGCAGGGGTGTGGGGAAAGCTCTGGGGAGCACAAAATGTTAAGGGCTAGTCCTCCAGCTGGCGCTCAGTAGAAGCAAAGATGATGTGATGACAGCGTCATAGCACACTGCTCTGCCGTGGTATGTGGCCTGATGTCCCTTGGCGCTGCTGTCAGAGGGTCATGCTGGCCCCTGCCATCGAGCCTTGTCTTATGTTGAGGCAGTGCACGCTACATCTGACCAGAAGTGTCTAGCGTTCCCTTACTGGCCATGAGTTTGCTGTCCCTCCTACCCCTCTGTTAGCTCAGCGTCCTGCAGGGGACCGTAAACAAGTGCTGAACTTATGCTCTGAATCCGTTTTCTGCAGTTCCGAAGCCCAACCTGGACTCCTTTGTGTTCCTGAGGGTGTTGGAGCGTCAGGAGAACATCCTGGTCGAGCCAGAGACGGATGAGCAGAGGTAGGTGGGCGCTTCCCCGCGTGGTGCATGTAAACAAGTTGGTTTCAGAAAAATGTTCTGGGTTAAAGTGAAACAGGAGAGGCAGCTTCACGTCCCGCCTGTCTCTGACAGAGAGTACACCATCGACCTGGAGGAGGGCTCGCAGCATCTGATCCGGTACAAGACCATTGCCCCGCTGGTGGCCTCGGGAGCGGTGCAGCTCATCTGAGGGGTGAGCGGTAAGTGCAGGGCCAGGCCCGCGGTGGTGGCGGGAAGGGGGGACAGTCACTGCAGCCACCGCGGCCCCTGGCATGGGGCGGTGTGGTGGAGCTCGCCATGGGGCCACCTGGGCTGTGTCCCCTTTGGACGTGGCGTGGCTGGGCAGGACAGCAGCGGTGTTGGAAGGGGTACCCTTGAAAGCATGCAAATAAACCTGCAGAACATCTTTCCTCTGCTGGTGCAGAGGGGCTCGTTGCCCCCACAGCTCATCAAACTCCGAATTGCTTATGACATGCATGGAATACAGCCAGACTCCTTTCTCTGGTGCTCCTGAGCGAGGGCAGCCTGTGTCACAGCACCGCCTCCCACAAGGCTTTGCAGCAGCCTTGCCACAGTCCCCTTGGAGTCCTGAGGGAGGGACAAGTGTCAGTAGTGCCTCTCCAGATCGCAGGTTGGTTTGACAGCAGACCTGGACAGAGCGCATCTATCCTCAAAGGCAAATACAGCCTTTGTAAATAGCAGGGTGCTCTCTTTTTAAACCTGCAGCTGGGTGTTTGTTCCTGTTCCAGTTAAGCACTGTTCTTTAAATTGGGCCATTGGTTGGAAGCTGCCTGACCGAAAGGTGTGGCAACCAGCTCTGTAAACTCCACCTTCCCCATCGGCTTTGATCTCATCACAGGGTCTGTGCAACCCTGGATGTTGTGCAAGTGGCCAGTTGCTCTGAGGTGAACGGGGGGATACTTCTGCACCAGCTTTGCCACATGATCCACTGAGCAAAAAAC